AATTTGTAAAGGTGGTTGTAACCATCTCTACATTCCAGATTTTATAATTCGTGCGGAATAAATTAATTTTGTTCCAAATTATTACGAATTTTATAATTCATCCTTCGAATTCAATTTTTTTTTTCATCAAAAAACAAATAAATGAAAAAAAGAGTTAATCTTGTTGAATGCAAATAAAAGAAAAATTATATAGCTTACACAATATTCTTAAATTTGTAATGATCAAATTCCAAATATATAAAAAGTTGTCAAACATTCACAAGTAAAAAAAAAAAAAAAGCTGAAGGATTAAACACTTGTTTGAAATACATAAACAAAATTCCAAATACGAGTTTAAAATAAGTTTCTAATGTTTACTCGAAAAAAAAAAACAATCATGTTTTTATGAAAATGTTTCATTTCGATAGATGACTTGATTATGATAAGTGATTAGAAGAAAGAGCATTTTGATCATTACCATTATTACGAACCTATCAAAAGCACAATTTGAAAGTAAATAATAATAATAATTATATAAATACGAGATAAAAACTCATTAAAAATATTTTAAGATCAAGAATCATGTTAATTATTTAATTAAAAGTATATGATACATGAGTAAGATTCAATAAAGTAGGCATCAAATTCGATCAAGATATCTCTCTCGCAATGAAAGAAGTAACAACGAGTTAATGTCACATTTATTGCATTATATCTAGATTCCATTGCATCATTTTTGTTTGCATTTGTAGTATTTACCTCACTTGCTTTCTACATAAAAAAAAAAAAAACACATTTGATTATAAATCATACAAACGAGTAAAAGAAAGCAACTTATAATATGAAATAATTTAAAACCCGGCTTTCCGGAGTAAACCATCTATTAACCAACATAGACCTTTAAAGTTAATCTTCTCTAACGTTTCGGCGTAAACTCGGCTTTCTAAAGAGATGTAAATGTACTCACCACACGATGCTTTAAAAGTTAATCTTTTCTAATGTTTCCACTATTCTCTACACTCGAATTCCAATCTATAAATAAAAAAGAATACAAATTATAAACCGAGTAAAGATAACGAAACAAATTCATGGAAAATTTAAGAAATCCTCATATGAAAGCTTGAAATTCCTTTGAATCAATACCCATTTTAATCCCTAAAAAAATCTAGAAAGAATCAAAGAGATTGAATTTGAAACTAAATATTTGAATGTGTAATTCATGGGCCGCCTTGAACCAAGTGGCAGCTTCAAAGTTTTAGTAACGTAACTAGGTGCTAACTTGGGCCTTTACGTAGGGCTTTTGTTTCCAAAAAAAAAAAGTGCCTAGGTTTCATTTAAAGAATACCATTCCCGATATCATATAGGACCTTTATGTTTTCATGTGTAGTGTTAATAGCTATAAGAACATTTAGAGACATCATTTGCTACCTTGGATCTATGTAGTGTAATGACATTAGTCTACCGTAACAAGAAGTGGAGGATTTGTCATTAACAAAATGCCAACAACAAAAGTACTTGATTTCCTTTTTTTATCTTTTATAGAGACTGTTATAAAGCTAACAATCTAAGAACTAAAAGGGTCCGAGATTGTCACTAATAATCCATACTGCCGTGGGGACTTTGAGTTTGTTGTGGTTGTTTAAGCATTAGCATTAGCAAGTAAGGGTAATAGGACTTTGTGTTAGCTAATTATCAATCATTAATTGATCTCTAATGTGATGATAATCAAGTTATTATCATGAATTCAAAAATAGGTGGAGAGCCATTAAGCATTTAGGAGATGATGTTCCTATGGATCTCGTCGATTGTGAATTAAATAACTAGGATCGTTTGATAACTAATGATTGTGCGGATGACAAACATAGTAGTAGTAGCTATTGCTTATAAACTATTCCATTTATCTCATAACCTAGATACACTCTTAAACATTAATACCGCATTCCACCTTTTTTGAAATTATCAAATTCAACTTGAAGCCAAAGTTTAGAATGTGTAAGCACAATTGCACAATCTATTCTGTTTTGTTCTATTCTTAAAAAATGTGGGGATACTATAAGGAAGATTCTACGAAAAAAGGGTCTTAGAAATAGATAACATTTAAAGTCAATGGCAAGGAAAACATTGATGACTAATAAAAGTGTAAAGCAACAAAACAATTACATTGTCCTCCACCTTTCCATCAATAACGAGTCTCTACCGAATCAAGATCTAGTTGTTCAAGTTTCACCCATTCATCAAGCTTCCTATTAACTCATCAAAGAGTTGAAAAAAAAAAAGACTTGAATAAATACAACTTCCAAAATCACCGTAAGTGCATGGTTAATAATCATGTAGAAAATTCCAAAGTGATCACTCTAAATAATTAATCATCACAACAATATTTACATAGATGGGATGCCAATCACCCCAAATTGTTGCACATCTTAATTTTTTTCAACATAATACTCTAATACCGAGCACTAAATTTTTATTGTTCCAATTTTTCTATGGAATCGAGTGACAAAATTCTATCCTTAGATGTGATGGCAATAAGACCTTGAACATGCACCCCGAAGAACTCAAGCGAAAAAGCTAGAATTTTCCACCTTGCATAAAAGTCACGGGACTTGGATCCGAATATCATGACATTTTCCCTTTGTAATGTATAAAAAATCTCTTCTATTACAGTCGACATACTATCATCCTCTTAGTACGAAATTGCACAATCCGATATACATATAATAACTCTATATCCTTTAAAGTGCTACTCCCGAATTTAACATTAAACTAGTACAAGCTTATATATTACAAAAGTATACTCGAAAAGCGAGCAGAGACATTGGCGTAACCAAAGCACATTATACATTCTAAATCGAACTCACTTCATCATCCACCTAAACCATGCTTTACAAGTAACATACTATACCTATATCGGATGAAATTGCTAATTAGGACAAGCAATTGAAAACTTCAAAGTCACAAAATAAGAACAAGATAGTTAGCATATTATATTGAAAATTTAAAGGTAATTAGAAAACAAAAGAGCGAGATAATCTAATTGATTGGCCACAAAATTAATTTAGCATACTTACCATTATAGAAGGACGAAGCGAGAGGAGAATAACAAACAAGCGAGAGGAGAAGAACAAACAAGCAAAGGAGAAGAAAAACCCAAAGAGGAGAGGAATAATGTAGCGTTCTTATCCTTAAAAAAAAGAAAGAAAGAAGAAGCAAAAGATGGAAGAAGTCTGTAAGGGACCGGCTAGTTAAGGACTAGCTATGGGTGTGAGTGAGGTAGCAGAAGAAGAAGGAGTTGCGAGGTTAGCGGAAAGAACGAAGAAGGAGCAAAGAAAGAAGAGAGTGACAGAGAAGAAAATAGAGGATTCGAGAATGATTTTCATTAATTGATAAGGTACCACAATGCATTTTGGGATCCTAACAGAAGCAAAGGAGAAGAAATTAAAAATGAAACTACAAAGCCCTTGTGAATCGAAGAAGCGAGAGATAACAAATCGAATAAGCAAAGGAAGAGAAGCTGCTAAACCCTAAGGAGATAAGGAAAAATGAAACGACGCCCTTCCTTTCGGAACCAAATTAAAAAAAGAAAAAGAAAAAATAATATATATTATGAAATAAAAGCCGCGCGCCTCTCCTTAAACCTTGGGGAGGTTTTGTAAATCACCTCAAATTTATTCTATAAAAGTCAAGTTGTAGTGCAACTCGCTAAAAGATTTTGAGACGGTTTACAAAACCACCTCAACCTTTCTACCTTTATATCCATTTTTGGCTGTAGGGAGGGATTCTAACCCGAATACAAACACAAGAAAAAATCAACTCTTTTAGACTTTTTGTTAACTTAAACTTATTGGATGCTAAATCAATGAAACCCAATAAAAATTAAATATACAGGGACGGTCCTGAAAATTTTTAATGGCGATGCCGTGATGCCTAGCCGGACAAGCTGCCTATGAGGACAGCTTCATTACTTCCTTCTCTCTTCAAGAATATGTGGAAATGATCCATTCTATTTTTCATGAAGAAAACGTACTATGACATTCCTTTTACTTCTTTACCGTTTCTCTTTATAATTTCCTATATGAAGTAGCTCATTGTGGCCACAAGAACAAGCAAACCGGCCCTAACCTTCCAATTTCAAAATGGATAGTAATCAAGGGCGAGCCCTGTGCACGAAAATTAACTATCCTTTTTGCACCATGAATCCCCTAAATCCTGACGAGTTCAGGAGGCAAGGTCACATGGTCATTTACTTCATTGCAGACTATTATCACATTGAGAAACACCCAGTTTTATGCCAAGTTGAACCAGGTTATCTAAAAAAATTAACATATACATTGAGCCTTTTCCGCACTCGTCAAATACACATACAAAAAAGAGAAAAATTAAAACATTGACTATAAGTTCAAAAAAGAAAATTTATGAGATTTTATTTTTATTTTTTGGAAAAATTTTGTTTACTCCAATTCATCAAATAAGTCTTTTTCTTTTCATTTCAGTTAATTGAATCTTAATATTTTTTATTTCGGATAATTAAATACAATTTATCAAATAATAATAATAATAATAATGCCCAATGAGAAGAATGGGGATGACGGGATGAGTGGTGACATTAATGAGAATGAAAGAAAAGTCGATGATAATGACTCAAGTGGCTAAGAAGATTACTCGATTAGTTCGACACATTTTCAATTTTAGCAAATTATACTCGTCTGATTGAAATCGAAAATATAAGTGCTTTTTTTTTTTTTTTTTTATCAAATTGATACTAAAAGGATTCTTTTGATAAATTGATGAAAAAGAAAGTTGCAAGTAATCAGATTAGCCAAAAAGTTTAACTAAATTATTTGAATCACTATTTAATAGTATAGGTATGTTGTAAATTATTTTTATTTAAAGTAATTGAAAGATCATATTATAAGTTTAAGTAAATATTAAATATTTTTTGAATCAACCAACATCAAAATCCTTCAAATTATTCAAAAATTTAGAATAGTATAAAAATTAAATTATATACAGATACTTGAATGCCCAAAGTAGTTGCGGGGTTTCTTGGTGAGATGCCTAGTACTGGCTTCAATGTGGTAGGATTCAATTGGCTGTCGTCGCCGGCCGCAACTGAACTTGAGAGCATTGTACTGGATTGGCTTGGAGAGATGCTTGCCCTTCCTAAATCTTCTCTCTTTCTGGAACTGGTGGAGGAGTTATATAAGGAACTACTTGTGAAGCCATTTTGTGCACCCTGGCGGCTGCAAGAGATCAAATGTTGAGCAAAATAGAGAAAGCAGACATAGGGAAGCATGTTGTTTGTGGTTCAGATCAAACAAACAGTGCACTTCAAGAAGCGGCACAAACTCTTTTTTTTTTTTAACTCAGAACTCCTACCAGAATTAATTTGTTACAATTTAAAATCGTGATCTTTTATAAAAGACTATTACTATTTTTATCAAAATAGCACAGTTTGTAGAGATCCACAAAGAGAATGTTCGAGCCATAGAAACGACTATGTCATTGTCATTTTCCCTATCGCCAAGTTCATTAGAATTAGCCATTTGCTTAGACATAGAAGCTGGGCTGCTGCAACCACAGCAGTGGATCCGCTGAAACCATTATGCCATGTTGCCAATCGCTATGGATTATGGGGGCATGTCGATGCTGCGTATGTCGGTAGCGCCAGCATTGTCCAGAGTTCCGACATTTAGAGGGTGCACACTCCTTCAGCCTGAATGCACACCAAAGGTACTTTACCCCTCTGGATTGTTGCTGCCTTTGGATAAAAGATCCAAACGCTCTTGCGAAGTCTCTCACGACAAATCCAGAGTATATTATGAGGATCGACGCTGCTAATTCAGAAAAAGTAGTGGACTACAAAGACTGGCAGATAGCCCTCAGAAGAAGATTCCGATCCATGAAACTATGGCTTGTCTTAAGGAGTTATGGTGCCGCTAACCTTAGAAGCTTCCTAAGAAGCCATGTCAAAATGGCTCGGGTTTTTGAAGACCTTGTAGGCAGTGATAAGAGATTTGAAGTTATGGTTCCTAGAAATTTTGCATTGGTATGTGTTCTAGGGCGTTGCCTTTAGCACTAAGTATGGCTGATTATGATAAGAAAATCCCAGATCAAGAACGCACTAATCAGCTTAACCAGGATCTATTGAAGTCAATTAATGCTTCAGGGCATGTGTACATGACTCATGCTGTGGTTGGTGGAGACTACATTATACGCTTTGCCGTTGGGGCAACCCTTACACAGGATCGACATGTCTTCACGACTTGGAAGGTGGTGCAAGAGCATTTAGATGCCATAGTACTAGACATTTAGAAAAGATGGAATGGACTTTTCTGTACCTATATAATCTTTAAGTTCTGTAATTAAATAAAAGGTTAAAGATTCCAAATCCTCTTGAAATAATGATGAAAGTAGAATTAGTTTGAACTCCTAGTTTTTAAATGAAAAAGATTTAAGTAGATTTTTTTTTTTGTTAATTAAATCTAAATTTTCATCTAGTTGGTACTAAACTAAAAAACGGCATTGCGAGCCGTTTTTTGTCCGCCTCTAGAGATTATAGAGGTGGTTTTTCGGATCGTCTCAAAATCGCTTGCAATACCGCCGTCTCTAAAGTGTAGAGGCGAGTTTTCTCAATCGTCGGGAAATTGTGAGGCGGTTTGTTACAACGGTTACAACCGCCTCAAATTGTTTTTTTTAGAGGCGATTCCGACCACCTCTACAATGCCAATTTTATCTTTTATATTTTTTTAGTGTGTAATTTTTGCAAGTGGTTCATAACTACCTCCGTGTTTCGCATTTGTTTTTTTAAATTTTGTATGAAATATTTGAGGTGGTTATAACTGCCGTAAGGTTTACAATTTATAGGAGCCGTTAGAACTACCCCAAACTATATAATTTATAGAGGCGGTTGTAACCGCCTCAAATTTCAGAATTCATAGAGAGCGATTTTAGAATTCATAGAGACGAGTTATTTAACTACCTTTAGCATTATAGTTTTATTCCGCCTTAACATTCAATTATTTTCTTTCTTTTTTTGCTAAAAAACAAATAAATTAAAAAAAGTTAATCTTATTGAATGTAAATAAAAGAAAAATTATATAGCTTACACAATATTCTTAAATTTATAATTATCAAATTCTAAATACATAAAAAATCTTCAAATATCCATAAGTAATCATAATAATAATAATAATAATAAAGGATTAAACATATGTTCAAAATACATAAACAAAATTTCCAATATCTTTTAAAATAAGTGGCTAATGTTTACCAAAAAACAACTCTCATGCTTTTATAGAAAATGTTTCATTTCAATAGATAACTTGATTGCGATAAACAATTAGGAGAAACAACATTTTGATCATTACCATAATTGCGACCCTATCAAAAGCACAATTTAAAAGTGAAAAAAAAAACAAATAAATACATATAAAAACTCATTAAAAATATTTTAAGATAAAAAATATGTTAAATATTTAATTAAACATACATGATACTTGAGTAGGATTCAACAAAGCGAGAATCAAATTCGATTAGGATATCTCTCAGCAATGAAAGCCGTCACATTATTTTATGTCACATTTATTGCATTATATCTAGATTCTATTACATCATCTTTTGTTTACATTATATGCAACTACTCTTTCATTTCTTCTACTTTGCTTGATCGATTTGTAGATGCACTCGCCTTGACCAGCTCCAAGTTGAGATTGCAAATAAAAAAAAAAAGTTGGTGTTGGACCCAAGCCTAATCGTCTAATTCTACTATTGTGTTCTTTACCCATAACTTCTTGAAAAATATCTTTATTTATATTAGTAACACTCGGTGGTTGAGGAACCTTCATAACGCTTAGTTTGGAGAGAATGAGCCTTTTCCTATAAATATCAAGACAAGTATATTTGAAATAAGTGAATAATAAAATATCATTAATCAACAATAAATAAATTACAACAAAATTTTAGTACCATTTTTAGTATAATATTGTCATCCACATATGTGCCATCCTTCTTTTTATAAGCGAACTTGATACAATGTCAACCTATTAGGTTCCTTTCCATCCCTTTCTTCTTACAAACAATTATACATAATCTAATTTCATACATAAATAGTAGTTAAATGTAAAGTTAGAAATTTTTAAAATTACCATTTCTCTACTTTTTCTTGCATAACTTTTTCTCGCCTAATGTATATGCACATTTATTTTTGTTTGCATTTGTAGTATTTACCTTACTTGCTTTCTACATAAAAAAAAGCACATTTGATTATAAATCATACAACAAGTAAAAAAAAGTTAACCTATCATACAATGTGTCATCCTTCTTTTTATGAGTAGCTTCATACAATGTCAACCTATCGGGTTTCTTTCCATCCTTTTTTTCGTATAAAAAATTATACATAATCTAATTTCATACATAAATAGTATTTAAATGTAAATTTATAAATTTTTAAAATTATTGTTTCTCTTCTTTTTTTGCACAACTTTTTCTCGCCTAATGTATATGCACATTCATTTTTGTTTGCATTTGTAGTATTTACCTTACTTGCTTTCTACATAAAAAAAAAAAGCACATTTGATTATAAATCATACAACAAGTAAAAAAAGTTAACCTATCATACAATGTGTCATCCTTCTTTTTATGAGTAGCTTCATACAATGTCAACCTATCGGGTTTCTTTCCATCCTTTTTTTCGTATAAACAATTATACATAATCTAATTTCATACATAAATAGTATTTAAATGTAAATTTATAAATTTTTAAAATTACTCGTTTCTCTTCTTTTTCTTGCATAACTTTTTCTGCTTAATGTTTGTGCATATTTATTTTTGTTAGCATTTATAGTATTTACCTCACTTGCTTTCTACATGAAAAAAAAAAAAAGAAGCACATTTGATTATAAATCATGCAAACAAGTAAAAAAAGCACATTTGATTATAAATCATACAAAAAAGTAAAAGAAAGTAAGTTATAATATGAAATAATTTGAAACCCGACTTTCCGGAATAAACCATTTATTGACTAAAGTAGACCATTAGTCTATCAACACCCTAGGAGATAATTTTTTAGATGCGATGATCTCTTTTGTAGTTTTACTAGGATAAAAAGACTCGGTTTTCAAGTCACTTTTGAAATCCCTTCACTTCTTATTTAATGATGCCAAAATTTATTTCTTTGCAATATTAAGAAAGTCAAACTTCTCTTATTAAATATGTAAAAAAAATATTATAATAATAATGCAAACTTGGCATACACATAAACCGAATACAAGATCTAACTCGTCAATGATGCGGATGCGGTAGAAAGATATTGCTAGGGGAAAGTAAAAAAAAAAATAACCGATAACCGCGAACAAAACTTATGTGTAAAAAATATTATAATAATAATTTCCAAGTACTTACAACCGAGCACAATTACATCGACATCTCTTTATTACTTAAATACTTAAACTTTATGATTGAAGACATGCAAATTACTAGTAGATTCACTCTTCGATGATGTTGGCCAATCAAATTATCTTTAAAATCCCTAATGCAGCATGCGATGGGAGAAAGAGAGCAAAGTTTCCAAGTAGTATTCACATGCTTTGCCTAATTTGTGTTGTTTCTATGACCATTTACCATTCAACCGGAAAAGCAAACCCCGAATCCACATCCGTTACCAAGGAGGTGTTATAGATCGAAAGCTCCATATTTCCTTAAAGTACCCCCACAAACTTCATAAGTCACTTCTTCAAGCACGTAGTGGGAGAAAGAGAGCAAAATTTTGGAACAATTTATCGACATGATCATTTTATCATAGAATATCAATATTGATGTGTATACTCGTAAAATACAAAACTATCAAAAGAAGCAAAAATGGTCGCTTTTCTAAGAGTTAATAAGAAAGCAATAAAATGATACTCGTCCCCAATCCATTAAAAATCATAGCCATTTTTTTTTTTAACGAAACGCCAAAATAATAGTATTAAGAGAAGCTAACAAGCTTGAGATTGTGAAGGCATATACATATAAGATAAGATTTATGACTCTTATCTTTATGACTAGCCATGCTTGCAAGTAAGAAGTTATGACTCTTAAACATTTGATACCGTAGCCCATAGGTGAGAAGTTATAACATGCAAATGCCACTTATAAGAGAATATTTAATTTTTTATTGACAAGAAAGTGATTTTCTCGGTTTATTACCACATGGATAAAGTGGGCATGGTGAATCATAACAAAAATAGAAGTAGAAGAAAACTTGTATAGATTATTTATGACTCATAAGTCGATCAATCATAAATGCAAAACAACTTCAATTTCATTCTTAGAACTTGAAACAAGCTTAATTGGAGTAATAAATGAAACTCTAGTCCTCCAAGCAACTTTATAGTGTTGGTACACACACTTGTTTGTTTGTACATGTATAGATTCATGTATTTCATAAAAGCATGTATTCATCTATATATGTATATGCTCGGATGGATCTACCGTAAAAACTTGAGTAGCCAAACATATAAAAGGGAAGGAATGGTGGGGTAAGGAAAGACTGAAAGGCTTTTCTTTCCCTTTGTAATTGTTAGTATTGTTACATGTGATATAGCTAAACGAAAAAAAGGGAAGGAATTGTTAGTATTGTTTGTATTAATGAATCCGAGAGTAGATTATTCTTAAAGCAAATAGATTCCAAAAAAAAAAAAAAAAAAAGAAGAAGAAGAAGAAGAAACTCACAGCTCTAGAAAACTCGTTTGGGTTACTACCTTCAAAATGACTTTGGTCTTTATCCAAAGGCATTCATCTTTAAATACTTTTTTACCCTACCTAGCTTTGATGATCAAAATTTAAAGACTAGTAAAAAAGGTACATCTACTTAAGAGAATTTAGTCGCACAAGTTTTCTAAGGTTTTTCTTGAAGATGCCAAACTCCTTATAATCCCATCGTGGAAAGCTCAAAAGTGCATGAATTCCTTCTTTTTTTTTTACTAATATTCCAAGGTAAGAACTAAGAGCAACAACTTTTTTTGTACATGAAGCTCCATATTTGTCAACTTCTATGACAATTCATTCTCCATCTTCCAAATGGTTCCAAAAATCTATCGGTGAAGCTTGACCTCACCTTTTAATGCGTTTTCTCTCTTTATTTATTCTTTTCATTATAATTTTGAAAATTAAGATAGAATCAGTGGCATATAAAATAATTAAAATCTCATCAATAATTTTAACTATGCAATCATCATGTTGAGCTTCTTGAGCGAGTTGTGAATAATTTGCAAAAGATGTTTGACTTTGAATTTGTGTTTGTTCTTGCATAGGTATTGAACTATAAGAAGATGTATGACTTTAGAAAATAGATTGATCAGATTGGGATTCATCCCTAACAATTCTCAATCCACGCAAAGTCTTAGATCCAACATATCTCTTGATATTAAAATTACGAATCAACATAAGATCAATCAAAATTAGAAACATACCAAAGTATCATCACCAATGCATAAATAGAATAAAAATAAAATAAAAATGAATAAACAATAAATAAACAAAAATAACTTAAATTAAAAATAAATAAATAAATATATAAACTATTTCATTATCAAAATCATTGCACACCCATATAGGCTTCATCTTCTCATCCAAAGATGGATAATTCAAAAAGTCACTTTCGAAATATCATCTACCCCCATATCAAATACATCTCTTGGTCTAACTTTGACAACCACGGATTGATTCATATTTAAGGGATCCTACACATAAAACACTTGTTGTACTTAGGAAGAGAATACAAATGGATCATCTTCTTCTTTCTCACCCGTGTGAATTAAACATGATAAGTTAACCAGAGCATATCCAAATTTATCTTGCCTAATTCCACTACTATGATATACATCAACCCAATCACATTTAAATAATATAGCTTTAAAACTATCATAGTAATCTAGATCAATAATATCTCTTAATTTTCCATAGTAGTTAACTCCTTCCACTACGAAACATTAACCACAACACTATTTTAAGTTGATATATTTACTTCCCGATCCAGTTTATGGAACCTAGTTCCATTGATGATGAACCCATTAAATTTTTTGGCCACATCATTAGGCTCTTTACCAAATGCTAAAATTTCATCCGAAATGCTTGGATCATTCATGGTTAAAACCTATAACAACACAAATGGAATGAAGTTAGAATTAATATAATTCAATTCCTCTTTTTAATCTAACAATGATTCAATTACTTATCTTTTGTTGAAACCAACTACGAAATTTTTCATCAATTAGTCTTTCAATATCCTCACTTCGAGACAAGCATGTCGACGTCATTTTTTTTCGTTCTAAATCAATGAATTCTCTACTTAAGAAAATTTTTAATGTATTAAATAAGAGTGCAACTTATAGAATTATTAGTACACTTTATTAAATTAAAAAAAGAGCTTACAAGCGAAAATGTTTAATTTTATCACAATGATGTAAGATATAACGATATGCCTAAATCAAAGACTTATTATCCAATTGGATGGCTTCAACTTTTCTAATAGTTTGGTTGACCTTTCGAATAAATATTTAACACTTTGTTCATTTGAAGGAGGATCAAGATTTCTCAAAGGTTGACTAAATCTTGTTTCAACTCCTTAAAGGTATCTTGAACAAAATGTCAAATATTCTTTAGCTATATACCCTTCCGTAATTGATCCTTCTAGACGAGCTCTATTATGAGCATATGACTTCAAAAGAAAAAATTCCCTAAAAAATTTATTAATCTTAGTTAAGTAAATATAGTGATCAAAATATGAAAAAGTGAAATTAATTACTACAACATACCTTTCTTAAGGATACATCTACTTATATGGCACCGGACCACCAAGCTTTGCCTCCTTCACTAAACGAATGTTTAAATGCACCATAACGAGTGAAGAATGATGGTAAAAAATCCTTTTTATTTGACAAAGGGGCCAAAACAATACGGTTTTGAATTTTGTCAAGCTCATTCACATATATTACCTTTGAGCATATTACTTTAAACAAAGCGAGAAAATTTAGTTATCATCAAAGTTATCTTTTTGGATGAACTACATGCCCTTAATGCTATCAGCAAGAGATCTTCAATCAAAATATGACAATCATGACTTTTAAGATCAATTAATTTTTTTTTTTAAGATTTACGTATCTTGAAATGTTAGATGCATAACCATCAAGCAATTTCAAAGAATGAAGAATTTTGCAAAAGATTTCTCTTTCGCTATTGACAAGGTAAAATAAATAGAAGGTAATTTGCTTTTACCATTATCAAGCACTTAAGGGTAAAAATCTAACTTAATACCCAAATCCACTAAGTCAAGACATGCATTTAAATTGTCCTTTGACTTAGTAGCATGGTTCATTAAGGTTCCAATCACATTATCACATATTTCTTTTCAACATGCATCACATCAAAATTATGACACAACAAGTTAAGCACCCAATAAGGTAATTCAAAAAATATGCTCTTTTTCTTCCACCACCTTTTTTGCCTCCTCATCATCACTACTTGTATTAACTATCCCTTTAACATTTGAGCCCCTAACATTATTTTTTATTCATTTTTTATTCAAAACCTTTTTCTTTTCTCACATTGTATTAATTTTTCAAAAGTATAATATATGTCATCTAACTGTTTCAAGATAATACTACCATTTTTTCTTGATGGTGCCATTTGCAACTCTTCGGTACCATTAAAGCAATCTTTTTGATAACAAAATATATGATCATTAGATAATCATCGATGATGACTAATCATAACATGGACATACAAACTTTCCTTTCATAGCCTAACCAAATAAATTTTCATAAGCGGGAAAGTCATTTATTGTCTACATTAAAACAACAGTGCATAATAAATGTTTATTTTATAAAAGCATTGTAAGTTTCTACACCTATCCATAATTTTTTCAAATTTGTTATCAAAGGTTCATGTACACACCTATGTCATTTCTTGGATTATTCTCACCTAGAATAATCATTGATAATATGAATGATAATTGTTTCATACAAATCCGGGGTGAAGTATTATATACAATCAATACAACATGCCATGTGCTATGTGTAGTGCTCTTTATTCTAAAAGGATTAAAACCATCATTAGCAAGTGCGAGCCTTATATTATGAGAATTTGAAGCGTAATCTGGATATCAAGCACCAAAATTTTTTCATGCTTATCCATCAGTACGATGCCTTAATAACCTATATTTCTTATGACCTTCTTCATACAACCTCGTATCGGTGACAATTTTGTTTGAACAAAATAACCTTTGCAAACGAGGTATTAAAGGAAAGTAACATAACACTTTTGTCGGTATTTTCTTCCTAGCTCCTAAAGTTTCTATCCGACCATTAGCACCTTTCATGTTGTTCTCGCCATTTTTATTTTTCCGCCACCAAAGAGTAACACATTTATCACATACTTCAAGATCTTTTTAATCACCTCAAAATAACATGCAATCATTTGAAAAAGATTTTATCTTCTTATAATCAATACCTAAAGCTTGAATGATTTTTTGCCTCATAAAATGATTTAAGTAACAATATACCTTCAAAAAATGCAATAGCCAATAACTCCAATAACATAGTAAATGATTTCATAGTCCATCCATTTAAACATTTTAAATGGTATAAATGTATTATAAAAGCTAGCATAAAAAATGACTTACATCTAGGATATAACTCTTCATTCATATTTTTAATAAATCATTAAACATATTTGACTATTGGGTAGACTATTCATTATCTTGCTCTACATCAAACCTTTGACATTTCCCATTCATTTCATCATTCATTTTTTCATCATGAGTTTTATCACATTCATATTCACTCATTCTATCTATATTCATTGTCATTTCACTATCATATTAACCAACTACACCGAAAGCATCACGTAACAACCTCACCATATCATTTGATCATCGTGAATTCACATCAATAGAAGTTGGTTCCCGAATAGAACTCACTCCTTGTACATATGAGGTGCGAAAATAAGAAGATAACCTAAAGTTACTAAAAGAAAAACTCTCTCCATGAAAAACCTATTGAGAATACCCCCTTAAAAACCCATCACAAATTAAGTGAACTTTAACATCTTTATATGTTTGTAAAGAAGAATTACCACATCGAATGCAAAGACAAAAAATTTCATAAGATGTATTACGAAATGGTAATTCAGAAAATTCCTTAAATCCTTTCTTATATTCAATAATGGTTCTAGTCTTGTTCATCCAACTTTTATCCATTTCATAAATGTTATAGAATCCCTAAAAGAATGTTATAATTTTTTTATCAATAAAAAAAGAACAACTTAAAACTAGTTATATCATAAAGTACTTATCAACACATATAGCACTTAGCACTTTTGTAGTCTCAAATATCATCAACCATTTGATTGCAAACAATCCTAGCTCCTTTCAAGCACAAATACAAGTGAGATGTAATAAGCTTATAGTCTTAGTTGTGCTAAGAAATTTACCTTGAAGTAGTCACCTAAATTAGCCAAAAAAATATGCTTCAATCAACTCCGTTGAACCTTCATAAAAAATACTAGGAAAAAGTCAATTTTATTAGTTAGAAGGAAAAAAAACTTATCCACTACATTATATATATATATATAAAAGATGTAATATTACTCACCACCCTAGCCTTTAAAAGTTAATCTTCGTTAATGTTTCCACTATTCTCTATACTGAATTTTAATCTATAAATAAAAAACACATATAAATTATAGATAACGATAACTAGCTAATTGCGGGAATGTAGATAGAATCACAAGAACCTCAACTTTGGCGAGGAAAAAAACATATTTACCTGTTGTTTCCTTATAAGAAGGCACCAATGAAAAGTAGATAAAATCACGGGAACCACGGCTTAAGTTATAGAATATGCAAAATGCAAAGTGATCGGGGGTGATTTTGAGCAAACTTATATGCAAATTATGGTTTGTTGAATTTATGCAGCATATTCTATAGAAATTGAGTTAATCAACCATAAACGATTGCCAATCTTTAAGTTTTTTCCCTAAAATATTACAAGTCAGCTTTTAAACTCTTGATCTAATCATATCAAGAATAACAATTAATGTTTAATCATATGACAGTTTGTATAATGACTCTATCAAAGATAAGGAAATCTCTTCAAATTGTTTCCCATTTACATGAGAACCAAAACCAATTGTTTAGAAGGGATAATGAAAGGTCACATGTATGCTAAAATCAATCATCTTATCTTGTTTGAGATAGTATCAAATTTTAAATAATATAATATTATAATATTATAGATTCTTTTCTAAACCTTGTATAGATTATAGACACTTAGATTATGCAGTCTTGACTATTATGACTTTTAACAAATAAAGAATTATATTCTCTCTACAAGGGCTACCTATTACTAAGCCAATGGATGATTGAATCCTAAAAGATGTAGGCCAAAGAAGTCTACTAGAGAAATTCAAGATCATCAAATGTAAATAGAAAAGTAGGCATTTAATTAAAAAATGCGATTAGGTGTGAACTGCAAACAAGAAGGAAAAAAAAGTTTTGAAAATAGAAAAGAGGTTATAGAAAGAAACCCCTAGAGCCAAATTGCAAGGGAATCCCATATCACATCAATGCTCCTATTTCGTAGAAAACTATTTCTCAATAAATAAGGAATTCACTATATTGCTAGCTTAGAATTTGATTCAACAAAATTATATTCTAAAACATTTCAATCTAAAGGACAACTTCAAAACTTGTTTTAGTTCTCTTTCTATAATTGAATCTCACTTTTTTACTAATAGGCCTCACTAATGTAGGGGCTGCACCTCGCATTCTACTAAAGAAGATGTCCCGATGCGAGCTTATTATTCTTAAGACCTTGTACTAATACATTTCTTGGGATCGAACCCTTGATGCTCCTTGACTTAGAATGTTTTAGCATGATTGCTTCATCGTGGTAAGCTTTTAAGCTACACTACTCGTGTAACTTACACAATTTTAAAACATAATATATCATAACTTCAGTGACACAAGTTCTTGAATAAACTACATGTCACTATCTATTCCTTACTTCGGACTAAAAGTTACAATTTCTTTTCCGTTCTTGTTTTCCTATTGGATTAATCACACTCGAAAGGCATGCAATTGAACACAAGAAAATTTTTCAATCATAATTTATCTCATTTCATATGAGTAGCTGCAATACTTAAAACCAAAGAAAAAAGCTAGAGATCATTTTTGACAACTTTGTGCATGAATACGATAAGAATATGATAGTAAATTACGGGATTCCCGTAACTATGGAACTTAAATTTTCAAGAACATAGTATGTTTCCCACTTTCAACAACTAGATTATGCAGCCATGACACAACAAGTCGGATAAGAATTCAAAACTTTAAAGTTACAAAATAAGAACAAGACAATTAGCATCTTAAATTGAAACTTGCAGTCTTACTACTTAGTATCGGCCACCAAAAGTTATACATACCACATGCCTACAACACCAAACATGATAAACAAGAAAATTATGATTTAATTTGGTCATAACAAAAATTTAAAGGTAATTAAAAAAAAAAACAAGAGCGGGTAATCTAATTGATTGGCCATAAAATTAATTTAGCATACTTACCATTAGAGAGATCAATGGAAAAATCAATAATGAGTACCTAATTGATTTGGATGATAGTTATAATTTAGTTTCTAACAAAATGGAAAGAAGGACGGAGTAAAATAGAAGAATGAAGAAGACAAAGAGAATAAAAACCCTAAAAAGAGAGGGATAATGAAGTGTTCTCATCCTTTTTAGAAAAAAAAAAAAAAGAAAGAAAGAAGAAGAAGCGAGCATAAGACGGAAGAGGTATAGGAGAAAAAGCAAAGTTGAAGAAGGAAAACTTTTGATAATGAAGCATCGATCTTGTCCCTTTTAGAACAAAAAAAAATTAAAAATGAAGAAGTAGATCGAGCGAGAATAAGCATAGGAAGAAAAAGCCAAAAAACCTAAAAAAGGAGAGGGAAAATGAAACGCCCTTCTCCCTTTTAGAACCAAAAAATAAAAAATATTATGAAATAAAATTTGTGCCTTTCGTTAAAACTTGGGGTGGTTTTGTAAATCGTCTCATATTTTTTCTATAAAATTCATATATCGAGTGTAAATGTTAAAAAACTTTAAGGCAATTCTATAAATTGTGTCAACCATACTCCCTCTATACCTTTATTTTGTTATAGTTTCCAAATTTATATCAAATTAGAAATGAAAATAAAAATGAAAATTGTAAAAATTCAAAAAGGAAGAAATTGTCTCTTATTCTTAATAAAAGGATCTTCTCAACCTAAAAGCTTAAGCTTTTGGGTGAGCTTCCAAGATATGATTTATATTATTCTTTAACACATCTTCTCAATTAAAAATCCTTTGGGCTTTAAACTTGCATAGACCCAAACTACTATGTACTTAATTAATTAGAAGAGAAATGAGGTGGTGAGATTTGATCTTGTAATCTGTTTGGTCATTAAAGCTCTAATACTAGATCAAAAGACCATCTCACCCACATGTGTTACACTTGGACATAGACACCAACTAAAACACCAATTACAACAAAACACTTCTCTCGACTAGACTCTTCTTAACAAACGTTAGAATAGAGTTTAAATTAGTCTTAAATTGTCATCTTGTGGATAGCTTCTATCGATGATTATTTATCATATATATATATATATATATATATAATTGAAATACGGATATAACATATAATAGAGAGTCTCACTAGATGTGAAACAAATCAATTCATATAAAAAGTCTCTTTGTGATTTAACTTGTATTAGAGCTTTTTTGCAATACTACACTTAGTGGCCTTAAATGGTTCTACCTCTTCTACTAAAAACAGATCTTTACCTTTTCCAAACACTTTTTCTAATCAACCCACAACCATCTCTTTTATCCAACTCTCCAATGCTCATCATTTCATCTCCCTCGAAACCGACTTCGTCCAACAATCTTTTTTGGCATATTCGGATATGCCTCTTTTTAATTGGCCTAGGTTTTTTAACATTGTTGATGGCAACTAACCATATCCTCATTCTCACCTTTTTTCTATTAAGGCTCGTTTTCCCAAAGTGAATCCACGAGTATTAAAATTGGATTTAACAAGACTAACTATTCATAAGTACCCTTATCTCCTCTTTGTCAACTAGAATTTTACCCATGATTGTTAATTGCAATACCTCTAGGGAGCTATGGACTTTCCTTGAAAGTGGTCTTTCTTCCACCTCTAGTATTCGTATAATGACATTACACATAGCTCTTCAAAAGCTAAAATAGGAAGATAATGAATCTATCATTCAATATCTTTCGAGAGCAAAGTCTCATAGTGATGAACTCATTACCGATGGTAAACCCTTATCTCCAATAGATTTTAATCTATATGTATTTAGAGGATTATATAGAGACTTTAAAAACCTTGTCACTACCTTAAATGCTAGAACAAATCCAGGTCTCTTTTATCGAACTTCACAATTTATTACTTAGCCATGAATTCTTTATTAAGGATTCCCTTCTTTCCTAGTAAATTCCTTCTTCCACTAATATTATGAAACCCATAGAAAACTCGAGTCAACGAAATGGAAACATCATTTTTTACAAGCTTGGTAGCTTTGGTTGTGGCAAAGAATAGGGTCAAAAAGGGAGATGGCGTGGTAGAGAATATGGAAGACATTTTAATTTTGATGCTAGGTAAATTAGTCTCGTCAAGAAGATAGGTACTAATGTCAATTATGTAATTCATGGAATCATATGGCAATAACTTATTCATAATAGTTTGCTTCATCCTTACATCCATTTGCAAATATGGTTATTCATCCTACTATTTCTTTTGGATATCAACCTTATTCTTAGTGTCTTGACACTGGTGTTTCTCATCATGTTGCTCCTAACCTAGCCAACATGAGCACCTATGAACCCTATCGGAGACAAGATCAACTCCAAGTAGATAATGTTGAGTTTCTTTCTATTCATAACATTGGTATTGCTCTTATTTCTACACCTATTAAAAATTTAAGTATGTTAGATGTCTTACATGTCTCATAAATTTCCAAACCTTTGTTTTTTTTTTTTTTTTTTTGTTAAACAACTTGCCAAAGACAATGATTTATTCTAGGAATTTCACCCATCATCTTTTTGTCTAAAGGACCGAGTGTATCGAAAAAAAATCCTTTCATAATCGAGGAATATTGATTTGTATGTCCTATCCGAGTCATCAACACAATCCAATATGGTTGGCAATTTGGATAGAAAAGTTGTGACTTCAATATTGGGAACACAGGCAGTAGTGATGTTGCTTTGTTTCTCATCTTAAGTAGCCATTGCATATGCCTTACTAGGCCCCAGTAAAGGTTCAATGCTTAAATTTGAGAGCGAATGGTTTGATAATCATCATCCAATCTTATTAAAAAATCAAAAAATTTTTCTTCCATTCCCTTCATAGCTCCACAAGTACAAACAAATATGGATCTAAGATATTGCAATACACTCCACGGATTCTTTAATTTTTCATAATATGTGGAGATAACTAACTTTTCTTATTGTAAGAATGCAATTGATTGCTTTTACTCATATACTTTGGGTGCAATTTCCTAAGTAAATCTCTCTTCAAAATCACTCCAAATTTCATTTGTAGTGGTGGTGTGAGTTGATCTTGATTGTAATTCTTTAAAGAATGAATTGATGAGCCATGATTTAACCATTGTGTTTTAATAAATCCAAGTTTGAAAATCTCTAGAATTGACATCGAGTTTGGGTATCGATCTATCCACAAATCGGCTTTATTTTTTTATTTGAGGGAAATGAGGAAATTACTTCTCTAAGTGAAATCATTTTCTCTATTTTTACTAAGAAGTTGGGTAACAAAGAGCAAACCTAAATGATTAAGATGCAAGTAAAATGGATATTTGGTATCAATTACAATTTTTTAAATATGGTAACAAACACCAAACCCTCATCATTCGGCTTGCTAAACCAATTGTGATGTAAGAAAAGAAAAGAAAAATTATAAACCTTGCTTCGATACTATGAAAACGTGAAATACTTTCACTTTATGTTTTTTTCCTTACAAAAGGAAAATATATGCACACACAAACAACTAATATGAAATAATTTTCTCAATTTTTACTAAGAAGTTAGGTCACAAAAAGCAAACCTAAATTACTTCTCTAAGTGAAATAATTTTCTCCATTTTTACTAAGAAGTTAGGTAATAAAAAACAAATCTTAATGATCTAAGGGATGCAAGTAGAATAGATATTTGGTATTAATTGCAATAGTTTGTATATCACAATAGACACAAAACCATTCTCATTTTTTCTTGCTAAATCAATTAACATGTAAGAAAAGAAAAAAACAGTGATAAACCTTGCTCGATACCATAAAAACATGAAATACTTTCACCTTAAGTTATTTTTTTACAAAAGGAGAATTTACGATCGAACCAATTCAGCCACTTGAAAGCATAAGAAGTGTGGGCACATTAAAGATAGTAGCATGGGCATGCTAAATACGATAAATGTGGACACACAAGCACAAAAATCGTAGGTAGGTTAAGAATAGTAACGTGGGCATGCGGATGCGGTAGACATAGACGCACAAGGATATGAAGGCGTGGGCACGTTGCAACTTGATGCGAGCACGCTGAATTCGCAGAAACAAACAACGGACTTCGAAAGAAACAAAATTTATTACGATTTGCCAAAAAAAGATGCCGACCTACCAAAAGAGAAGAGAATATTATGTACCCTTTTTGGGAAATAGACAACTCCGTATAAATAAGAACCTAGCGAGACTAAGGCGGACAAGTTTTTGATAATATTCTTCATAGTATATGAAGCTTTATTATTCTCTCTCTCTCTCTCTCTCTCTCTCTCATGTTATGGCGAGTCGCCATGAGCAACTAAACCCTTTTCCTTGGTGAAGGTAACTAAAGCTTTTGGAAATCAAAGATTTTGAGGTGCTTAAGCATTAATGCAAATCGGTTTATTTATTTCAAGTATTGAAATTTCTTCTATGCTTATTTTCATGATTATTTGGGTTAATTTCTAATGTGTACGGTTAGTTTATTAACTTAGATAATCTATAGCTAGATCGAATATTGAATCCGTAATTGTTCAATCCCTTTGATTTGTGTAGTAACTAGGAGTATATGGTTTGTTGCGTTAGAAACTAATGACTTTTAGGAGGATTGTTCAACTAGATTAAATGCAACTACATGTGTTGTGTTGTCTTGCTTTGTTGATCTTTCTAATACATAAAACTATTATTTAATTAAATCTTAGATCGTATCTAGGGTTGTTAAATAACGAGGGTTGATTAGAATATATGTTTCTAGTTGGCTAATCATAAGGAAAGATTGATTTCAATATCACAACAAATATTTGAATGAGAATCCGATATTTCTTACACCAAGGATAAATCTCAAGTTCCAAAAGTGGATGTGACCCGAACTAAGGTTTGTTTACTTGAATATTTATTTTAAACTCGTTTTCTGAATTTAATTTGTTTAGTTTTAGTTATGTCTCAATCAAATCAAAACCTCCCTTTTTATTTATTTCATGTTTCTTCTAGACTTGTGACGACTAACGCGATTGAATTCCTCGTGGGATCGATCCCTACTCTCCTTTACTACATTTATGTTGTAGGAGTTTAGGAGTTTAATTTGGGTGTACACGACATCAAACCGGGGAACACCGAGTTGTGGTGCGAAGTGGAGCTACGAAGATAGCATTGTATCTAAAAATAGAACAAGAGGGGTCCGGACAATGAAGCTCGTGTTTTACGAGTTACAAAGTAATATAAAATTATTTTTAGAATTTACTTAATTATTTAAAATTTTAGATTGAAATAGTTTTTTAATATAGTTTTAGAACATAGATGATCAAGTGGTCACGAATTTGAATTCTACGACTTACACTTTTTCTTTTAATTACGCAAAAGGTAATGGTGGGTCCGTGTATGTTTTTTATTCAAAAAAATTTTCACTTGAGAAGATGTGTTAGAAAATAATATAAATTTATTCTTAAAAACTCATTTAAGAGTTTAAGTTAAGTTAAAATGATTTTTTGACAGCTATTGTATTTTGTTTGTTAAAAAAAAGTCTTATTATACTATGGTATTGCTTTTATAATATAAACAAAATATATGAGAACATTCCAACCCCCTTTTTTTTTCATTCGATGTTTTTATTTTTTATTTTTTTTGGGGGGGGGGGGGGGGGGGGGGGGTATCAACTTCCCTGTTAATTCAATTCTTCTATTTTTGAAAAAAAAAAAGAATTTCTGGTTCTTTTAAAGAGCATGTTGGCCACTTCCTCTAATTTTTCATTTAGGTGACGCTTTCTATTCTTACAGAAAACATATTAAATTAAACTTAAGACCTCTTATGAGAACAGATATTAATGTTAATTGAATTATAATTTATTAGCGACACTTTCTACTTTTAATGGCATCATAATCAAAACTATTGAATATCTATCAACAGATTCAAAATTTGCTTTAATGAATTGGATCAATGTTTAATCTAATTATAATTACTTGAGCACTAATCATGGAGATATATCGGGTTCCTTTGAAAGCATTCAAAAGACACCAGATTGACATTGAATTGGATGTTTACAATGTCCGGTTTAGCGAATAAGTCATGACCGAATGTTTCCAAAATCCAATCACTTGACCTGGCATGGCCATGCGTCAGGTTACTAACCAGAATGGAAAATGATGCAGGAGCATGGGCACCGTTAGCAGGTTCATATGGAGTAACTGGAAATTCTTTGGCAATATTACGCAAACTTTAAAATCTGTGTTTTCCAGAACTTTTTTATGCAGAAACATGTGCCCCATCACTGCCATAAAATTAACTTTTAATAGCACTTGTCTAAGAAACTTGTTAAAATAAATGCTAATATATACATTATGATGATATATCATAATTGTTGTTGTTGTTGTTATTATTATTATTATTAGTAACATTTTCCTTAATTTTAGTGGCAATGTGGTATACTTTACCAATATTGGATTTAAAAGTATTTGTTTCATATGCCATTAAAATTTTATAGCATTTGAAATAAATGTCTTTAGATCCAATATCGGTGAAGGTCTAGCATAATTGCTCATAAACTTAATATAATTACTTTTGAAGTTAAATAAATACCACTAAACATGCATGTATAATAAAACAATTGTTAGGAATGTCATTATACAATATATTTGTAATGATACTTTACTTAAACGCCAGTATAGCAATGGAACAATTGATGCTAAAATTTCATAGCTTAAAGGATCTAACCACTCCTGAATTTAGAGTTATTTAAAATTGAGTTCTAGAATTTTTTTTATTAATTTTGGAGATTCTTAAACTTTTAATTTTTTGAGATTTTATACATATAATAATCTTCACCTATCATCTTTCTTTCTAAAAAATTCAATTTTTGGTATTTTCAAATGAAATTTTGCATATAAGTTGGAAAAATTCAATCTATTTTGTAGACACATTACAAAATTTTTTAAAATAAAATACTAATCTATTTATTTTTTGAACATTAATAATATAGAAAATCGAAAATCAAAAATAACCCCAAAAGGATCCCAAATTTTTTAAGGAGCCCTACATAAATCTCACTCCATGATTTTTATTATGAAACTATTTATGTGATTGCTATTTTTTTGAAGTAAATGACATAAAACTAAATGATAGGTTAAATCTGAAAAAAAAAAAATGTGTAAGGATTCCCCAACTAATAAAAAAGTTAACAACTCAATTTTAGATTACTTAAAGTTTTGCAAGGGTTAGAATTTTTTAGTCAAATTTCATTTTATAATAGTGCATTTGGTTGTTTCTCTTAAGAGAATTTTGGTTAAAAAAAAAAAAAAAAAGAAGAGAAATTGGTGGCTAATGTTAAAGGTTCAAATTGTAAAATTATTCAAAATTAGTCGAATAATTTATATAAGTTGATGGGTATCACAAGGGTTGAGTAGATTAAAGTGCATATGGATATCCATTTAAAAAATAAATGGATCATAGTAATGGATAAAACATGATTCTACTCTTTATGACCCAACCATTTTCTATCTCTACTTGTATCCTTTGCTTTGATGCTTTAGAAATTTTAATTACTAACCATCAGAAAACGTATGAGTCATTTAAATATACTTTTTGTTTTTTTCCTTTTCTTTTTGGCTTTGGGACGTGAAGATGCAGTTGAATGTCAAATAAATATAAATATGAGAAGAGTCGGGGACCCTATTGTTTCTTCTAAGACTCCTGACTAGGAATAGCAATGGATTGGTACCTGCTTTCTTTTAGTCAGTTTAATAAATATTTATTAAGACATCCAATGAATATTAAAGTAGATAAAAATATAAAAAATACATATTTATTAATATGGTTTCAGAATATGAGTATCTATTTTTTATCCTATTTATATCAACTAATTTGTTTTGATTTTTTTAACATATAGGGATATAATTGTATATAAAAATTAAAGATCAAAATATAATTTCTAAAAACTTTGAGGATCAAAAAATTATAAAGAAATGACCAAATGCCAAATAAATTAAATTTTAAAGACCAAAAAAAAATATTTCTCTTGAAAATTATAAAGACCGAAATGAATATTTTTTATAAATTATTTTTAATGGGTATTAAATGAGTACCAAATAGAAAGATAAACTAATATAACTCCGATAAAAATTTATATAGCGATTTTTTAGTAGATAGTGAATATAGTTTCTTTTTTTCTTTTTCTTTTTTGTGGCTAAATGCTGTAAAACATATAGTTTAGACTCATGGCACCAAACCAGTCCAACCTGGTGAAAGCCATCTAGTTTTAATATATATATCGTCTCTCTCTCTCTCTCTCTCTCTCTCTCTCTCTCTCTCTCTCTCTCTCTCTCTCTCTCTCTCTCTCTCTCTCTCTCTATATATATATATATATATATTCATTAGGAGGTTCGTAGATCATATATTACAATTTTTTTTTGTTACAAAATAATCAAATAAAATAGAATCATTAATATATACGTTTATTTTAAAAAAATTATTCGATACACATTAAACTATGCTTACATATATATAATTTTTTTTTAGGCTTAAAATCATTTGTTTTAAAAGTCCCTAATGTCATATAAAAAAATTATTTCTATTAAAAACATCAGTTATTGGATTAATTATGAAGAAATTTAACTTTTTAAAAAGTAAGAATCTCAAAGAAGACTTTATTTTATTTTTTTAGATAAATGCTAAGGTTTTTTGCTTTCTTTTCAGAAGCAAAGAACCCAAAGGTTTATTCTTGGAGCTTATAAGTAGGTTCCGTATTTGAAGTCATCCCAAGACAAAAATAAAATAAAATAAAATAAATGGCAAACGTAAGATTGCCCTCTAAAAGCATGGTTCAAGCCATTGCTAACGAGGAGTCAGATGAGAGGATTGACTTGACTGAAATTGATCTCAAGCTTCTCCTAGTGTTAGAAGTCAGTTAAGATGGTTATTAGTCTCAAATAACACGTGGGATTTAATTATCAGTTAGTTAGCATTTTGGTTAGGTAGACGAGTCTGTTATGAATGTTAGTTTGTTATAGCAGTAGCAGAAAGCCTTTAACTTATCACCTGTAGTATAAAAGGGAGAAGAGAAATGCTTTGTGATGCGAGATTGTAAAATCATTATTTTTTGGTTGAATGAGAAGAAGTAGACTATTTCTCTCTCCTTTATTGTTTCCAATTTTAACATGGTATCAGAGCACCTCTATTAGGTCTTCTTCTTCTTCTTAAAGGTTTGTTGAAGTTCATCAATGGCAGATTCAGTTTCAATTGATGATCCACAGTCTCCTTTTCATTTACATCATACAAAAAATCATACTACTATTTTTGTTACACTTGAATTAACTTCGAGCAACTATGCATCCTGGAGCCGTTTGTTTTTGTTGGCACTTTCAATACGCAACAAAACTGGATTCATCGATGGAACGATTGCAACTCCAACTAGAACCAATGCATTGTTTGGTTCATGGTTACGATGCAATAATCTCATTGTTTCTTGGCTTCTTCGATCCAACTCTGCTCCAATTGCTGCCACTGTATTCTATATGGACTCAGCTGCAGAGATCTGGATGATCTTGAAGAAGCTTTTTTCTCAAGTAGATGATTCTAAAATCTACAATTTACAGCATGCCTTGTGTGTCATGAATCAAGGTAGTCGAAGTGTTGATGAGTATTTCACTCAATTAAATTCTGTTTGACAAGAACTGAGAAGTTTTAGGCCTTTACCACATTTTGAATGTGGAAAATGCAACTCAGAATGCTTCAGAAAGTTCATTGATCTATAGTAGAAGGACTATGTGTTCTGTTTTTTGAATGGACTAAATGAATCCTATGCTGGAGTAAGATCTCATATACTCATGATGAAACCTTTCCCCTCTCTCGATGAGGTATACAAGCTAGTTATTAAAGAAGAATCACAAAGAGCTTTACAACATCAATCTCAACCTTTCTCAGAATCTTCAGCCATGGCAGTTAGAGGAAATTTTCGAAATAAGCCTCGGAATTCATTTGCTTGTTCTCATTGTGGCAAGCCTGGTCATACTAAGGAATACTGTTATCAACTGATTGGATTTCCCAACAGGTCTGCAAGGATCAAGAATAATGTGCCAGTTATTGGTTCTGTAACAATGCAATCAGATGATGGATTGAATGTCACTGCTAAGCATGCCTCTGCAAGCACCACCTATGGAATTTCACAGTCACAAGTATCATTAACTCAGCAGCAAGTTCAACGTTTACTAGCACTTCTTAGTGAACAGAATGTCTCAACTACACCTGACCCTTCTTCTGTAGTGTCTGCGACTACCTTATCTAGTATGATAGGTAACGTTCTTCCTACCATAAAACCTCCTATTCAATCTCCACATTATTGTTGCACAGAATTCACCAAACAAATGACAAATTCTCTGAATGAAAAATCCTAGATTATAGGCACAGGTGCTTCAAATCATATTGCTTGTTGTTTGAGTGCTTTCAGTGATTATCAAACCATTAAACATGCTTTAGTATTGATGCAAGATGGCTCTAAAGCCTTTGCCACACACTCTGGAAATGTACCTTTGTCTTCTACACTTGTCTTGAGTAATGTTCTTTAAATACCTTCCTTTAAATTCAATCTTATCTTAGTCAGTATGCTTACTTTTTTTGGTCAAATTGCTGTTAACTTTCGTCATCATTCCTGTTTCATTCAGGTATTTCCTTCATGGACAATGATTGGATTTGCTAGAGTTCGCAATGGTCTTTTCCTCCTAGAAGATTTAGTATCTCACCAGCTATTGTCCTCTGATATTTCTGAATGTAAATCTCAATCTTCATTTGTTCCTACTGTTAGTACCAGTACCGTTCTCCATGACAAGAATCATTTGGATCTTTGGTATTATAGATTAGGACACATACCTCTTGATAAGATGAATATTATTCATTAAACTTGTCCTGATGTACACTGTAATGTAGATTTCAATAAAAACCCTTGCGTTATATGTCCACTGGCTAAACACAAACGACTTTCTTTTCCCATTCATCCCTCTCAAACCTCTGTACCTTTTCAGCTTGTTCCTGTTGACATATGAGGACCTTACTCATAGCCAGCTCACAACAAATACCATTACTTTCTCACCATAGTGGATGATTTCACTAGGATGACATGGCTATTCCTATTAAAATAAAAAACTGATGTTCAATCCATTATTCTTATTTTCTTCAATCTCGTTCAAAATCAGTTCGGTCATTCCATTAAAGAGATTCAGTCTGATAATGGTTTGGAATTTAACCTCTTTGATTTCTTTTCCACTAAAGGCATTATCCATCAACGTTTTTGTGTGGTTACTCCTCAACAGAATGGAGTTGTTGAGCGAAAACACCAACATCTCCTGGTAATTGCTAGAGCCTTGTTGTTCCAAGCTAGCATACCAATCAGTTTTTGGGGGGATGCAGTTCTCACTGCAACATACTTAATAAACAGGCTTCTAACTCCTACTTTAAACCACAAGTCTCCTTTCGAGATGTTATTCCATCAGTCTCCTAGTTATCTTCAATTGAGAGTATTTGGTTCTCTTTGCTTTGCTTCCACTCTTCCTCATAATAGGAAAAAATTTGATTCTCGTGCCAAAGAGTGTATTTTCATTGGTTATCCTGTTGGAATGAAGGCATACAAACTTTATGATTTGAAGTCTAAAACTGTCTTTATCTCTAGAGATGTTACATTTCATGAGAATGTCTTTCCCTTTTCTTCCTTTGCTCCACATAACCAACTTCCTGCGGTTATCTCTTCTTCAAATTCATCAACTATTCCTAATATACTTGTGGATCAACCATCTGCTACTTCACATCTAGTTACTACTAGTTGTGATAATCCTCCTAATTCTTCTCCTTATGTCCTAGATACAGACTCAGCTCTTACTGATTCTTCTCAACCTATATCTATTGAACTTTCTTCATCTTCTCATCCTCTTCCTGCTCCTATTAGAAGAAGCAACCGTGTCACTAAACCTCCCACCTACTTGGTATATTATCATACAAGTCTGCTTTCTGTAAATGTATCCAAGTGCTATTCCACAGCTCACCCTATTCACAAATTTGTTTCCACCTCCCTTCTATCACCTTCCCATGCTGCCTTTGTATCTTCCCTTTCAACTATCTCAGAGCTGTCTACATATGCTGAAGCCATTCAGTCTGTTCACTGGCAAGCTTCCATGAATGAAGAACTTGCTGCACTTGAGCACAATCATACTTAGACTGTGGTTCCTCTTCCTACTAGTCATCATACCGTAGGCTGCAAGTGGGTTTATAAGATCAAGCTCCTTGCTGATGGTTCTATCGAGCGGTACAAGGCTCGTTTGGTAGCTAAGGGCTATAGTCAACAAGTCGACTATGACTTTCAAGAGACCTTCAGTCCTGTGGTTAAACAGACCACCATTCATTATTTTTAGCTCTTGCTGTGAATCAAGGTTGGTGTTTGTCCCAAATGGATGTAAACAATGCTTTCTTTAATGGTGATTTAGAGGAGACCGTTTACGTGGACCTTTCTCCTGGTTATCAGGTCCAAGGGGGGCACAGGCATAGACTCGTTTGGTTTGTAAACTTCACAAGTCTTTATATGGACTGAGGTAAGCATCAAGACAGTGGAATGGAATCATAAACTCACCCCTGCTCTTTTAGCCTTTGGTTTCTCCCAGTCTAAGTCAGATTATTCATTGTTTACCAAAAGCATTCCTTCTAATGTTTTCCTTGCTTTACTTGCTTATATCGATGGCATAGTAATTGCAAGTAATTCTACTAAAGCTATTGAAGAATTCAAGAAATATTTGCATTCTCAGTTCAAGATGAAGGACTTAGGACAGCTGAAATTTTTCCTTGGTATTTAAGTTGCAAGATCTTCAAAGGGAATTTCTTTATGTCAAAGAAAATACATTCTTGATCTGCTGGCAGAGCATGGAATGCTGAGGGCTAAACCCATCTCCACTCCAAAGGATCCGAATAACAAACTTGTACAGGCACACTTTGATTTCCTTGAAAAACCAATGGATTATAGGCAACTCGTTGGGAAACTATTATATCTAACATTCGCAAGACCTGACATATGCTATGCAACTCAAGTGTTGTCTCGGTTTATGGATAAACCAACTGAAATCCACCTGCAAGCAGCTTTTGGAGTGCTGAAGTATCTGAAGATAGCACCTGGACAAGGACTATTCTTTCCTTCTGAGTCTGATATTCAATTTCAAGCATATACAAACAGTGATTAGGCAGGCTGCAGGGACTCCAGACGATCCCTCATAAGTTATTGTGTGTTTCTAGGGCAGTCACTCATCAGCTGGAAGTCTAAGAAACAAGCTTTGGTGGCTAGAAGCTTTGCAGAAGCTGAATACAGAGCAATGGCCTCCACTTGCTGTGAAATAATTTGGCTACTGTCATTATTGATAGACTTGAGTTTTGAGCAAAAGAATGGAGTTTTGCTTAAATGTGACAATCGACCTGCCATTCACATAAGCAAAAATCTAGTCTTCCATAAGAGAACAAAACACATTGAAATGGATTGCCACTTTGTTAGAGAAAAGGTATTGGCTGGGATTGTGAAGCCTCAATATGTGCCTTATGATCTTTAACTTGCAGACTTCTTCACAAAACCCTTACAACCTACACGTTTCCAATTTCTTCTAGACAAGATGAACATGGTTAACATCCATGCTCCTCTTGAAGGGGGTGTTAGAAGTCAGTTAAGATGGTTATTAGTCTCAAATAACACGTGGAATTTAATTATCAGTTAGTTAGCATTTTGGTTAGTTAGTCGAGTCTGTTATGAATGTTAGTTTGTTATAGCAGTAGCCGAGAGCCTTTAACTTCTCACCTGTAGTATAAAAGGGAGAAGAGAAATGCTTTGTGATGCGAGATTGTAAAATCATTATTTTTTGGTTGAATGAGAAGAAGTAGACTATTTCTCTCTCCTTTACTGTTTCCAGTTTTAACACCTAGCAAGTTACACCCAAAAGGGGCTTCTCTTCCCAAAACCCAAACCATCAGAAGACCAAACCTCATTGACCCAACACTTGAAATCCTCACTTTCTCACACACTACATTTCTTCACCCCTCTTGCTGGTCGACTAGCCACAGTTGAACAGGAAGATGACACAATCTCCTATTTCATTTACTGCAACAATGAAGGATACCAATTTGTTCGTGCCGTGGCCCATGGTGTAACCATGGCTGATATCCTCGAGCCAGTTTATGTTCCTCCAATTGTCCTTATTTTTTTTTTGCTTCAAACTACGAGGGTGTTTCTAAACCATTGCTAGCTGTTCAAGTTACTGAGCTTGTTGATGGCATCTTTATTGGTTGTACCATGAACCACTCAGCTGGAGATGGCACATCATTTTGGAATTTCTTCAATTTCTGGTCTGATATTTCTCGCGAGCTAGATCATATCTCTAAGCATCCTGTCCTTGATCGTTTGTCGCTTCTCAACGGTAATAATTGCCCACCGATTTGCTTTCCTATATCAAGCATTAAAAACAACTCTGCGACGTGGGTTCCACCACCTTTGCCAAGAGAGAGTTTTCCATTTCAACAAGGCAAAAATTGCAGAACTAAAAGCGAGAGCCAACGGTGAAGTTGCAACTAATTCAATCTCCTCTCTTCAATCACTCTTGGCCCATATTTGGATAAGTACAACTCGAAGCCGACAAGATAACCTTGATGAAGAGGTTGATTTGATAATATTCGTTGATATACGGACTCGATTGCAGCCACCATTACCAGATACATATTTTGGAAGTGCAGTGGTGCTTGGGACTGTAACCATGAAAGCAAGAGAAATACTGGAGCATGGACTTGGGTATGTAGCTTTGCAGATAAACAAAGTGGTTTCTTCATACACAGAAGACAAGGTAGAAGGCATTTTAGAGTCCTTTCTGGACAATCCTAATCCGTTCACGATAAGCAACTTTGTACGTAACAACTGTTTGATTGCAAGCAGTTCTCCGAGGTTTAATGTTTTTGGTATTGAGTTTGGTTTTGGAAGGCCAGTTGCAGTGCGCTCGGCTAGGACCAAGAGTGATGGGAAGATTACTTTGTTTCCTGGAAAGGAAGAAGGGAGTATTGATATTGGACTCTCTGTTTTTCCTGAGACTCTGAAGGCTATGGAAAAATGATTTGGAGTACATGGATGATATCACCATCTGATTTAGTTCAAAAAATTGCTGAAGGACTATAATACTTTGGGTTCATGTCATTATCTGCTGATCCTCTTTTAGCAATGTTCAAGCTCTACTCTAATGCAGCAGTTTGTCTTTTGCTTTCGGCAACACAATGCAGCAGCTAGCTTACCAAAACATTACCTGGGTCGTTCCCCCTTTTTGTTTTTTGGTGGGAAAACAACTTACTGCTCTGGTAAATAATTGAAGTAATGAAATTCTTATGTTCATGCTCCAAATCATCTACTCTGTTTTCTCTCTTCTGTTTTTGCTCAGCTCTGCTTTTAGTCTTCCATGACTAGTTAATGTCGTTCTTTTCTAAAAGAGTATCTTTCACTTTTAATCAAATTATCCAAAAGTACATTTGAAAAAGACAAATTTAAACATTTATAAAAGAATTAAAATCAACTCTTATAAGGAGACTAGCATATGAATTTCAAAACCAGAAGGATTATTTTAAAAAATCATGAAAAAACTGGGTGTGAATTATAATTGCCTAATAATACTTTGATTGAAAAAATTGGTATACTTGCCCAATCAGTCATCAAGCAACTACCATGTTTTCTCATTCACTTAATATTTAATACTGATGAACCTCTTTCATGTTAGCCCTATTTAATAAATCATCTTCAGGTGCAAGTGGCCAGAAATATTGCATTAGAATAAAGGTATATGATTCATGCACGAGGCTTATTATATTTTGTTTACGCATGTCCCACGAGGTTCAAGATGATTTATGGAGTTAAGTTAGAAGATTAAAGCTAGTATTATATGGCCCTTCAAATCCATGATGCTTTCGAAATTCGATAATGTATAAGATCTTCTTGTTGGGAAAAAAGAAAAAAGAAAGAAAAAAAGTTGAAGTTTAACAACATTGTCCAATACAATAATATGAGAAAAAAGAAAAGGGATCTTGATTTTCTTTTTCATGTGTTACGATTGCTTCACACTCTTCTCCTCGTAAACCTTATTATATATGTGGATGTGTAGTGCAAGTTGGTATTATTGTATATTTTGGTGTTTGTGAGGGCTAGCCGATCTAACTCAATATCTTCTTTCCTTTCAGTGTGGCTTTTGTTATGACTACTCACATTATATTAGAGTGGATAATTTGGAAAAAAAAAAAAACCGGAAAGGATAAATTCGCACATACGTCATCTAAAGTAAAATAATTCGATTAACATCTCCACAGTCTCGAGCTGGCCTGAGAGCAGCATCAATGTCTTGTTCGTAGATGCTATAAAACTTTAGCGGGAAAAGAGAAAGCATATAAGATCAATTTGTTGGCGAAATGGTGAAGTATGAGCCCGAGTCCCTGAGGTATTGTAATTTGTCTTCGTTCTTATTTACATCTAATTACGTTTGTCATCCCAAACTAATGTCATATTGTGTTTGTATGTATTATTAAATGAGTTGGTTCTTCTTTCGCCATTTTAGAAGGAAAGAAAGGAGCTGAGCCTCTTCCTGTAATAGTCGAGGATCCTTTTCCTAGGGTTGAAGCGTCGTCTACTATTCTTAGGGATGATTCATGGAATTGAGGCCAGGATGAAGATCTTGGCACAAACGTTTTGCCTCTCAACCCTAAGTCGCTCGTCCCTAAAGAGATGAGAGAGAATGAGAAGGCCTTGTCTCCGAAGGGTGCACTGTAAAAAAATTAGATAAATAATGACAAAAATCAATAACAAATATAAAGTTGTTGGCATATAGCGGCAAATTAGTGAAAGATTAACAACTATCAATTTTTTTTTGATATTTTGGATAAATAGTGACAGAACATTGACCGAGTAACAATGGAATGTCAACGACATAACACTACCGTCATTGAATTACATGATAAATTTTTGACGAGTTTAGTTAGTGACAGAATACCAACTAAGTTTTTCAAGGGATTTTAGTGATAGATGATGTTTTTCATTGCTAATTTTAGACAAGATATGAGAAGATGATTTAATGATGAATTTTAGTGAAGGATAATATTTTCCATAATTAAAAGAAAAGCTGGCCTAATTTAAAAAAAAAATAGCGAAGGAAACGTATCTTTTAAAATATCAAATACCAATGGAATTGAATCCATCACTAAAAATTGAAAAAACGGTGTAATTTTAAAATATCAAACATCAATGGACGATGTTTTCCATTGCTAATTTGGATGATCTAATGATAGATTTTAGTGAAGGATGATTTTTTTTTTTTTGTTACTAATTAAGAGAAAATGGCCCAATTTAAAAAAACAAATAGCGACGAAAACATATCTTTAATGGCGGAATTTAGTTCGTCACTAAAAAGTGAAAAAAATGGCACAATTTTAAAAAATAAACATTGATGGACATTTATGTTTTAGTGATGGAATCTCATCCATTGCTTAAAAAATTCCTAAATTCATAGATTCTTCCTCCTCTCCTCCATCTCTCAAAAATTGGTCACTACTCCTCCTCTCAATTCCCGCCATGTCACTAGCCCCTCCACCAATCCCAACCATGCAGCCAACTACAAAACCGACCACCAGACCCCTTCATCGATCCCGACCTTAATAAGTGATGTTTTATGAATTTTGCTTAAAACTCATTTTTAGGTAAGCTAATATATTATAGCTTCATTGATTAGTCTACATTAATTACTTACTAGGTTTTAGAATTTGCTTAATATTCCAAAAAATCAAGAACTTTACATTTTTTTAATGATTTGGATAGAAAGGTTACAACTAAGTCTCTAATAACAATACTAGCACAAATCAACTTTTTTTTACTTAAATTTCGATCGAAGATGACTTTACACATGATGAAGCGTGATAGCTAGACTAAATATAACACGTAGAATCCACATAAGTAGCAACATGGAAAATCGAGTTACTAAACTTGAAAGGCATGTCATCCTTTATATACTCTAATTACAACAAAATCTCTAATTCAAACTAATCCTAGCCCATATGTTATTTGTTTTCCATTTCAAGTTTGCACAAGACACTATCTTCCTTCTTCCATCTCATAATTGAACAAATCCATAAACCATCATCTTCCTTAATTTGAATTCTCTTACTCGAACGAACCCAAAAGACCACCATCTCCCTTTTTCTTTTCCTTCTTTCTTCTTTCTCATCCCTCGAACCCATAGATCCTCCAATCCCATTATCTCATTCCGTCACAAATCAATTGCTTTAATTCAATAATTGAAAACCCAAACCCCTCTCTATCCCTAATCCTCCAAATTTAAAATCTCAAACCAATGAGATGAACCTTTAAGTAAATCCCTCAAAAACCCTAATCCTCAAAATTCAAAATCCTAAAACATTTTCTATCTAACCCTCCTTTAACTACTATTCCAAAAAACTTTAAAATCTAAGACCTAGACAGACCTTTATGTAATTATTCATATGGCAACTTAAAAGTCTACATGTAACACTTCAACATGGATGAAGCTTCGTAAATATCTTTCCTAACTTTTAAGATGCCTTTATGCAAGCATAATATGAAGGCAATCATATATATATATATATATATTTCATGAACAAAATCAAACACAAGAAAGAAGTTCCTTTACCGCTCATATTGAAAGGTATTGTTCTTTGAAAATGAAATTTATGTCACCGCCCATCTTAAAAGGTATTGTTCTTTTGAAAATGAAGTTTCGTTAGTTGATAATTATGGGAATATTTGATAGAAAAAAATGAACCAATCTTGTGTGATATTGCGAGGTTGATAATTATAGGCATTAGAAGTGGATCGAAGAAGGGAGCAACATTTATGGAACTAGGAAGCTAGTGATAATTGACATTGAAGAGTTGAAGGAAAGAATGAAGTTACTAGAAATACTTAGAAAAGAAAATTCAAGTTTAATTAGAATTGAAGTAAAAAAGAGAAAGCAACAAAAAAAGAGTTGATTGAAGAAATGGATAAAATGAGATCTAAAGTCATTAAAATGAAAATTAAAATACAAAGAATGAGGCTTGGCATGAAGGAGTTACGAGGGAAGTGAAAGGTATTGCAAAGTGGAATTTGTTAGCAATAGTGATAGGTTTTATGTTATTAGGATATATATTGCCTTTAAAGGATCATAATGACATGCTAACTGAAATGCAAAAGCCATTGAGGTGAAGAAATGCCAATAGACTCATAAAACAATGTTTTCCTATAGCATTCCTTGCATTGTTAGTACTTACCTTATTTTTCAACTTGTTGTACTTATTTCTTCCTTTGTTGTGACAAAGAATTGGTGATGCATACATAACTTGTAACCTTACTAGGGTTTGTGATGCTTTTTATGTATTTCGAAAGGTTGAAAGCTAGTAGGAATGATGAATTATTTTTGGTTGATTTAATACACTTGAGTGGCATTTGGACCATTGAAAAGTATATAAAGGTGAACGTGATTGGATTTGCTTTGAATATTGAGGTCTCATTGTGAGGAGTGGTTAGTTGCCTTTGCTCCGGTAAATGGTACCGTGTTTTAGTGATCGAGGCATGGTACCCTATGAAGCATTAGGACTTCAATTCCTTTGCTAATTATAATGTAGGTAGATGCATTTCATTTTCCCCCTCATTACAAAAGATATCAAGAACAAGCTAAAAAAAAATCTTCCGAAAATTGCCACCTAATGCCCCATTAGACATTGTTTTCACCAACGTTACAAAAATTTTACCCGATCGCCCTTGTATTTGATTAGTTCCTTTAGCTTGTCAACCATGAATGCAAAACCTTTGTCATTAATATAACATAGATTGTATTGCCTCAAACACCCAATTTTGGAAGGAAACAAAGAGCCTTAAATACCTTTCATCAAACATTGATACAAAAGCAAAAAACAACGCCATACACTTATGGTCCAACTAATCTGCTAAAACAAAATCAAATGCATATGGTCTCAATATAAAAGCCAAGCCAAGTTAACATCCATATCAATCCATATAAAAATATTAATATTCTCATGCCAATAAAGAAAACACATGCTAGCCAAAAACACA